AACCAGACCAAACTATATTCAAAGTGAGCTGGTGATGACCTCTCATTGTCAGGACAATGCCAGTGTCTTATTTCCAACTTGCACCAGGAGGTCCTCTTTACAGTAAATTAGAATCTAGTTTTCAGAAAGAACTTTGGTCAGAATGATCTTTTTACAAACAGGTTAAAACCTAACAAAAGGTAGTTTTCTTCAGCACAAAACAACTGCTGCCCTTTCCTTTTTACATGTGGTTCATATGAATGAAGAAAGCCAGTTTATGATCTCACTCAACACATTATGTTGCATTTGTTAAATGTAAGATCGTTATCATTGACTGTAGTGCCTATCTGAAAGATATTTTTTCTCCTTAGAAACTCCGGAACGCCTTGAATTTCAGCGCATTAGTCAGTGGTAAAAGTTACCGTTCAACCTTTTAGCAACTCAAATAATGGAAAGGTAGTTTCCTTAAGATGATGTCACCTATAAACATATTTCTTCCCTTAGGACTTGTGCAATCAAATAGACTGAGACAGATCACCTGATGACATGTGACATTCTTCTGTCTTTAACCCGGTTTAAGCTGCTTCCTATTAATAGTACACAAACAATCTGTATTTGAACAGGCAACAGTGATTCTAGAGTTTAAACATTTTTTTATGCCAGTGAGTGCTTCCTGCATTTCAGTTTCAAATAATCTGACTCCATAACAATCCTGTTGTTAGTTTAACACATCTGGTAACTGCATGTAAACACAACAGCAAATTCTTGGAATTGTGCAGAAATTTCTTCATCGTGAAAACTGGAAAAAACAAATCAATGTTTCTTAAAAGAATACTGAGCACAGTAGTAATTTAATGCACCAACCATAATTAAGACTTACACATGTTAATATCCCCTACTTGGGTTTTCTTTGTGTTCTGGAGTGCATTTTGCAATGATAAAGACATGTGAAAAGCACAGGATACAGGAGGCAGAGTTGAACTGGACGTGTCATAGAGCCGATGTCAGCTGTTTTCCCGAAGGATACTATTCTCACACCAGAAACAGCCCCCTGCGCCCTGTGTCTGGTTCACTGTGGACACAGTTCAGCGAGAGAGGGGTGGAGATCAAAATACCGCACTTGGGGTCCCAGGCCCAACGCCTTCTAGAGGAAAGTACACTTGGGTGAGGAAATGTTCTCCAGGCCTTGGACAAATTGAGCATTCTTAAGGGGTACGTGGATTTGCAAGCTCAGCTCAAAAAGTGTATTAAAAGGCCAAAAGCAAAGAGAGAGAAACGTTGGAAAGCAGGCTAAAATAATTAGTTTATTGAGTAGGACAACGGAAAAGGTTGAAATTAATTTTCACAGAGATAGTTAGCAGGAGATAGTTAACGGGTAATGAGTGGTGGACTTGAGGGAAATGGCGGATTTATGAAATTAATGTTTTTTTCCTCAGGAGTTTACAGAGTAAGAAAATGACAACATTCCTCAGGCAGAGGAAAGACACAATTCTATATGAAATCGTATTCGAACAGAAGAGACAGAACCGCTACAGGTATGACATGCAATTAAAGCTACATCTCCTGGAGCAGATGGTATTCTTCCGGGCGTACTGAGTGAGGATATAATACAAGTGGACATAGGAAGTGAGGTGATGCTGTGGGAATGTTGTACGCTGCACTCGTGACATTTCATTTAGAACGTTGTGCACAGGTGTGGTCACCGCATTACACAAAAGGACACCGCTGCTCTGGAAAAGGTGCAGCAGACAGAGGAGCAAGCCAGATACAGCCGACAGGCTGAAGGAACTGAGCCTCTTTAGTCTTGAACACAGAAGACTGCAGATCAGACCTCGTACAGGTACTTGGTGACAAAGCCAGCCCGGTGGAGATAGCTTCTGAATGAACAGTACAGACCCACAGCGCCCTAAGGGAAATGAGACCAGGAGGCACTTGGAGGATAGTAGGCATCTGGGACACGTTGCCCCGTGATAAAGCCAATTCTCTGGCTTCTCTCTTCCTCAGACCTGTTGATTACTGGTACCTGAATGAGCTAGACGCACCTCTTTGTCCTGGGGCTCTGAGCTGCAAAGTGTGAAAAAGAAAACATCCGAGGGCAATAATCTTGATATTGATGGACCAGTGAGTGTGAGCATTAAAAAGTTTGAAGTAGTGTTTGAGGCATTATATCTTTAATTGTCATATGTAAGTTCTCATAATGAGGTAGCCTACAGAGACTGATGTTAAAAACCACGAGGCATAATCTGCTACACTGCAATGAAATGACAACAACACAGAAGATGCATTCCTTTTTAATACATTTAATAGTGCACGAAATATTTAGGATCTGTACAGAAATAATAATAAAATATGATAAAACATTTTATTATTTTCTGTCTGAGCTTTAGAGTAACATTTACAATAAAATGACACGAGGTACAAAAAAGTATATCTGAGGTATAAATATGTGAATATTTTAAATAATCTGTCATTGTCATGCATTATCCTTATTAGGCAGTATACACTTAAATGTATCCAAGTTTACAATACAATGGTATGTACAGAAAATGTATCGCAAATGAAAAGTAACTTAAAATTCTGACAATGCATAATTAAAATAAGCTTATTTTAGAAAAACAACACTTCATTAAGGTATTGAGTAACACTGATAGAGATGTGTACAAACCTGCAGATTTTCCTTCTTTGAATTACTTAACCTACACTATCATCTCACCATTCACACGAATTGCAATGCAGTTCCATGTCACTGCATCTGTCCTTTCTGTATTTACAGTAAAACCTGTAGAAAAATCACCTTTATAAAAGGACCAATTTATTACATTCTTCAAACACTGTTTCTATTTTACGGATGTTATTAAAACAGACGGCACAATAAATTCAGCAGACCAGGACGACGCACGTGCTGGGCTCAAATCCTTTCTGATGCTCACATCCACTCACCCTTCTGTTCCACTACCTCGTAAAGACATCAGAGGCCACTGACCTCAGATACACTTGAGACTTTTCTGTTCTTAAAAAAATGTTTTGGTCCGTTTGGGAATTGAGAAACTTAAAGCCTTTAAGCAAATTGCAAACCTTACTCTACTTTCCCACCTCCTGGTGTCCCAGCCACCATTCTACAACGTACTCTTTGAAGCAAATCCAGAAACACACAATGACACACTGTCTCTTACATCCCTCGTCAGGAAGAACAGAGCACGCAGAAACAGCCAGACAAGCAGACAATCTTCAGTCCTGCTAGCAACACCGCAGAACAACAATATTTTCACAACATATTGTATCAGGACTGAAGTGTAAGATAATTGGCCTCGTCTATAATATGTACAATATTTTTATTGGCTTCCCAGAAGCAATAGCAGCCCTGTGTTAATCAAGTGCTTTAACAGCACCTTAAAGAGCTCAGGTTCGTTCCAGTTGGGGCACGGGCGACCCGTTACTCAAATTAAGCAGCAAAAAGACAAAAAAAAAAGCATTTTGTCACAGTTCAGTCAACTTCTTATTGTCGTCCTCTGCCTTGGCGTATGTGCAAACTGCAGGCAACGTCACGCAGACTCTCCTCGGCCACGCGGGAGGACTCCCCCTTCCCAGAGTGCACGGCGAGCGGCGCGAGGGCGCCGAGTTATTTATCCAGCTGGCTGCTGAAAGAGTCACGTATCCGCACCACCTCCGCTGCACACCAGTGCCCAAATATCTTGTTGTACCACTCAGGACAATGACCCCTGTTGACAGGAGGAGAAGGAAAGAAAATCACTACAGAGGAGGGAAACCATTCTTCTTCCCCAACATCCTCCTAACCAGCGCAGCAACTGAAGACGGCGAAACATATTTCACTGGGAAAGATAACATTATCCATGATCCAGGAAGCTCTTGGGCTGGCCGTACGTAAACCGTATGTCATAACATCCTGATTTTTCAAAACCCGAAGCATTTGATCTATGAGTGGAGAGCTGAGCTTGTCTGCTAGCCCTGTTTTAGATCTATTTATAACCTTTCCCTGGGGCTATCAATGCAGCAGAAACTACTGCTGACTGGAATTGAACCTACTGCACGCAGAGGTATGACCCATTTATCTCAGAATGAGAGCTTTACTGCTCATTCTAAAGGTGAAACATAAATGCATGCTGTGAAATAACAGTTAGCACATGGACACTGTACAGCCACATCCAGCTGTACGCTCATGGTGTGTGAGGTGAAGCTTTAGGCTTGATAAGGTTTGTGTCCTTATCTTCACCAGGAGCCCAAATAAATAACAGTATGTCTTGCAGGTGTGTCAGTTCTTGTCAGTTTTTTTCAGGTGTCTGAACCACACACCCCTCTCGGTTTCTCAAACTCCTTCTTGAAATCCTCTTTTTGAAAGGCGCCGAGGAAACCAACCCTGTGGATTTCCTCAGAATGAACAGTGAAATGCCCATCAGGGACACAAGAGGACGCTACGCAGAGGTGCATTTGAAACCAAGAATAGGAAGCTCTTCTTTGCTAAAAGGGCGACAGGAGTCTGGAACATCATCCCCAGGCACGTTGTTGAAGCTGATACCAGCCAAGAACTGGCTGGATGAGATCTTGGATCAATTAGTTAATTGGTCCAGCCAGCTAGCCAATCCGATCGGCCTCCTCTGCTCTGCGGCCAGCCCTGTGCTCTGGTGTTGCGCCACCTACCTGCAGTCTATCCTGGATATGTAGGTGAGCCTGGACTTGAAGGCCCCACAGGGCTCGATGAGATAGCGTGACGTCAGCACGTTGGCCCGGACCCCCATCAGCGCCGCCCCTTCGTGATCCACAGACACGCCGACTACAGCACAAGCGCCCTTGGGCAGATCCGTCACCCAGGTCCTAGCAAGACAAGGGAGCAGGGAAAACCCCAGCCTGAGCACACCGGCCTGCCAGGAGAGGAGCGCATCTCGCCACTGCCGTGACGGAGACGGCGGCCTGCGCTCGGGGGGTCAGCGGCGGCTCTCACCTCAGCACCACGTGATCCAGCGGGGGGTGTGGCGCCATGCTGGTCCGCACGTACTGGTAGACCTCGGTCTGCTGGTCCAGGCTCTCCACCGCTTTGCAGTCCAGCAGGTCCTCGTCCCACTGGTGCTGCTCCCTGAGCACACGGTTCAGCACGTCTTCCGGGGCCGCGGGGATCTCCACGCTGGCCCTCCAGAGGCGGAGAGGAAAGCCATCGCTCACCTGAGAGGAGGAGGCCAACAGGAGCGCCGCTCGTTAGCCCGGGCCAAGCGCGGAGCTTCCAAGGACTGAATTAGCGCACAACTGAATCAGGGCCCCTGCTAACGTGGCTAAACTCCGATCATGTCAGGAGCAGACGTGAGGGTTTGTGCGCAGGGCGGGAAAAAGCCCTGCCGATGAACCTGTGGCTGCCTGTAAAATGCTAGCGGTTCTATCAAATGGAAGAACGGACGACATGAAGGTTCAATCGTTTGATGCAGCCCAGGTACCTTCTTGTAAGAGAGCTCTGCCTGCTCTGGGGTGGAACAGCTGTCATAGCCCTTGAACTTCTCCTTGGCCTCCTTCAGCAGGCTGTCCAAGGCCTCCTTCAGGCACGTCTTGTATCCACAGGGCTGCTCTTTGCTGCTGTCCACCAGCTCCTCCAGCTTCAGGGGGTGCAGGCCTTGCTCTATGTAAGAATTTCGACAGCGGCTCATTTCCTCCGGAATCTGAAATGCAGTATTGCAAAACTAGTACTTTGCAAATCAGTCCAGGCAACCTAACCACAGTCAGAAAGCATCCTTGTCTCGTTTAGAAGAAAACCTCATTTCAAAAGGCAAACCTAACCACTGTTTTGTGTGTCTAGGGAGAAATATGTTCACTGCCGATTTCTTAACAGTGAAGAACAGCTGCTGGGAGCTGTTCAGAGTCTTTTATTTTAAAGGATCCCAAATAAATTCACAGCAATTCAACGCCATTCATGTGTAGGAGGGGTCCTGCTTTATCCAGTATTGGAGAACGGCCCCCAGCTGGGTGACACACAGCAGCAAGGTGACACGCAGGAGTGTTTCACCAGGGGGGACGTGTCGGGAATGCACACTCTACAAGCCCAGGGTGAAATTCATTAACCCAGGTTAAGACTCAAACGGTTACCTACGGGTCACCTGCAGCCACAGCTCAGTTTTGAGTCATCATCCTGGTCTAAGAATTTACACGACTGGGGTTCTGCGATTCCCATTTGTGCTCCCTGGGTGGTGCTCAGCAGAGGAAGGCCGGATACAACACAGAACAATACTGTTCCAGACTGGAGGAGAGGCGTTCCCTCCGTCTGTGACTAAGCCAACGTGATTCCTTATCGGAGCCGCCCCCAATGTCATGTTGCTCATCTCCTCTTATTGTCATAGAGACTAACCCTAGTCTAAGTTGTCCTGAAATTGTCCTGAAATTTCGATCATGCCGCACTGAAGCCACTCCGAAAACCTCCAGCGCCCTCCCACCCTCTGAAAGCAGCAAGCGCACGGACCTGGAAGAGCTTCCTGCACTCTGCAATCATGTGTGCCAGGCCCTGCGTGGCCGCCAGGTTCTCGTTCAGGTCCTTCTGGTCCGGTTTGCCGAGGCTGTGCTTTCTGTGCATCACCCTGAGGAGAGGAGGCGACGGCCCAGTTAGAACACCACCACCACCACCACCACCAACAAGGGCGGCTAACGAGGCGTCACGCAGGAAGAGGAACAGGCCGGCCGCACGCGAGGCCTGAGCTCAGGTGTGGCGAGAATACCACCTGCCAGAGCCGCAGGACTGCAGTACACTTCAGCAACGACCACTCTTCTAGTATTGTATTGAATTTCAACAGAGAAATTCCATTAGTTACCGAGACCAGCTGTCGGCTGCATTTGGCGAGATATGGTATGTTAAAAAAAATCCTCTTGCACCGGCAAAGCATTGATGTTAGTCATAAGATACTTTTTTTGTACTGAAACTACAAGACACATTAACGTGGTGATTAATGATCTTCTAAGACTTTACTCAAGAAAATCCATTGGGTAAAGTAGAAAAAAAAATGAAAGAATGTATTCCTCATAAGAACAAGGACTGACACAAGAAACAGAAGGGGAGGTTTAGGGGTTATTAAAATATCGCCCCCAACAATACAATCCTCATCTGGCTCAGACAACCCTTAGTTAGGTCAGACCCTGAAGAAAGAATGACCAGGTTTAAGGGCATTTCCAAGCCAGTCTGAAGAAGTCTCCTCAGTTTATTAACTTCATGAGCTTCCTGTTCTATGATCAACTCTAAAAAACCAAAAATCATATAACTTCAGGATTTATATTACATATAAATAGGTTACGTGTTCAGACATATTTTACCATATACGTATATAACATCGGATGAAAACATATTATAAAACCCACTACTAAAACGAGCACAACAAACTGCGACATGACAAGAACAACAGACTTCAAACTCTAGAGAGGCTTTGCCATGCCGTGGTTGACTTCAACGCTGGGAGCCGTCTGAGTATTCCTCCCTTTCCTCATGGCCCCAGCGTCCGGCGGCGGGCGGCTACCTGGGGGAGGAGCTCTCGCGCCGGAGCGTGTTGAGGTGGAACAGGGAGGGCGCCAGGCACACCGCCAGGTTGGTGTTCGTCATCTGGTTCTCCTGCACGTTCGCCGTGACGTCGCTCAGGAAGCACAGCAGCGTCTGCAGCGCCTCACGGTTCTCGTCCGGCAGCAGGAGCACGGCGGCCTTGATGGCCTGGAGACGCTGGTCCTTGGGCACGTCTGCAAGGGCAAGACAACAAGGCCGGGCTGCTCAGGGCTGTGTGCGGCGCGGCGCCGCCAGCGGATACAGGCAGGCAGGCCCGCCGTCGTGCCCGGGAATCTGAACACTCGCACACAGGGCCTTCTCCTCAGCTGCTCGTCCGCCCCGCACAACAGCGTTATCATTCCGCTTTCACGCGAATTCGTCCACCACACTTTGTGTCGGGACCCACGTGAAACGCCAGAAATGCCATCTGTGCGTCTGTCCAGAGTCCCGGAGGGGGTTTCCTCGAAAGGAGACGTGAGGGGTCAAGGAAGCGTTCTCGGCCACTGAAGGGAAACCAGACTGCAGAAGGGGGACGGCGAAAGAAAGGAATCACCGATTTAGCCGTGTCACTGGATCGACCGACAGGCATTTCCTGTCTCAGATTTGTTTAAAAAAATCTTTCAGCAGACGGGCCAGGGGGAGAAAAAGAACCTGGACACGTGTGGTTTGATTTCCAGTGCTGGAACGTTAAGGCCACAGATGTGGAAATTGAAAGCTTTAAATAGCCCTCTTCTCCGGGCAAACTAAAACATCTCCTTGGTCACAGGTCATAATAAACATCTTTGTCTGAACGGGAAAGGCTCTGTCTTCTGAAAAGCATGAGCTCAACATGTGATGGATGTAACTGAGAACAGTGCTGAGACTAACAAACCACAGATGGCCGCCCACCCCCTCGCCTCCACCGTCCTTCCGACACAGCCCAGGAGAGCGACAGCCAGCCGCGCGACCCAGAACCGAGCACGAAGCAGAACCGGGCCGGGACCTGCTGCCGAGCCAACGCCCTGCTTCTGTTAACCCTCGCTCTGCTGCTTACACTGGTAGATCTGGAGGAAGGTCTCGGAGAGCTTGCTGGTCAGCAGGGGCTCCGGCAGGTCCCTGAAGTACTGCTTCAGCATGTCCGCCACGTCGAAGGCGGACTGCCCCTCGTAGCTCGCGCTGTCGGGGCAACTCTCGTTCATCTGCCGCAAAGCCTGGATCCTCGACTTGACCCCCGACTTCCTGAAGAGGCCCACCTGCCGGGAAAGAGAGGCACGGCGCCGGCCGGTTAAACCGGGAAACTTCACCGAGCGGCCGAACATTTCAAGTTTTCACTCGGCGTCCGTTCCGAGCGCTACATGACATGCTGAGAAGTCAAGAGGCAACCTCTTGTTTCCGGCTCTGATGTGTCAACAGCTCTTCCTTGATTAAATGCAGGAATGAGTGTTCTGCAGTAGACGCAGGAGCTCAAATACTGGGCAGTAACAGCACTGTGTTCAGGACCTCAGAGCCGGCCCGGGGTGGGTAAGGCGGAGCCCGACAGCGCGGGTGTGGTGCGGACGGACGCGGCGGACACCAGGCTGACCTGGTCCAGGCACTGGCTGCGGAGATAGCGCATGGCTTGCTGGATGCTCTGCGGCAGGGGCTGACCCATGCGCTGCACGTTCACCTGAAGGGGGACGCCGAACACATTCCTGTCCTTATAATCCGGCACTTTAATCCTCTTCATAAACTTCGGCACAGCCCTGAGGGGAAGGGAAGAAATCAAAGCAAGATCAGGACAATCTGAAGGGCATGGGTTACTTAACTAGTGAAACGCAACATCTGATGCGTGCCTTTTTAGTAACACATGAAGGGCACATATTAGTCAGATATCTGATTTCCAAGGTAAAAAGCTACCTAACAAACCTGTCTATAGGTGCTCTGCATGCTGTGTTGATTGCTAGTGGGCCAGTCAATCACTGCGCACACAGGCTTTGCAGGTGATGCTTTAAACAAGGAATCGCCAGCAGTACATTTCAGCCCCCTACACTGCCAGCAGGCTGCTGGGATTCCAACCGAGGGGTGTCGTTCAAACACTAAGCTCTGGGCTTCGCACCCACTCTTTTGCGAAGCCCATTATGCGCCTTCACAGGGCGTCAACGACCAGCGTCAAGGGACCGGCCGGCTGTCACACGGATGAGTGACGTCCTGTCGTTAGCACAGGGGAGGCAGGGAATGAGAGCCCCAGCATGGCTGATTAGTGAGTGTAAAGAAACCCTTTAGAGACGGGCCGGGCCGTTAAGGCACTGCGGCAGGCCAAGGGCCTGACAAAGGGCCGGGGGTGGGGACAGAAATTAGAGCATTGTGGCCGGCCTGAATGCCCAGCAGCATTATCAGCCACAGGGAGCTCGTGTAATGCGTCAGATGTTATCAACATGAAATTCTCGGTTTCCAAAAGCTTGAAAAGGCATCCTCCCAGGCAGCGAAGGAGCCACTGCTGCCAGCAATTTCATGGTTAAACAAGCTTAACGGCGCCTGTTCCAAAACGGCCAGATCCAGCAGCAACACAGGCTGGAGCTCTGGGGGGAGCGCTGTCCATTTTTTGGGGGATGAGGGGGGTGGGCCCCAACCCCTCCGGGTTTTTAAAAAGTGGGACGAGGCTGTTCTGTTGCGCTCTGCGTGCCCCACATTGTAGAGCAAATTGAAAAGGAGACCAGTGCACCTCATCAGCTCATACCGGCTGAAAACCCCCTCCCGGCCACATATCTGTGCGCCCCGTGCTGTTGTCATGGCAGCTCAAGCCCAGCCAGAGCGTGGCAACAGGAGCGAGAGTACCGTAGGTGTGCACACCACAGGCCTGCAACACGTCACCCTCGCCACAGAGAATCGGAAGCACGCAGGGACGGCCGTCAATACGAGGGCCTGTCGGGACCAGACAAATAGCGTCTGTGTCTGACAGGGCTAACTCAACAGGCTTTGAACAGCCGCTGCCTTGAAGCTGGGGCTGAAAACTCCATGGTTGGACGTGAAAGTGGACGGGACTCACTTCTTTTCACTCAGCCAAGCTCTAGCTCGGTGGGAGATCTCTACCGAATGGGAGGTTTTCCATGACGGTGTCTGGGCTGTTACAGTACCGGGATGAGCAGCCCCAGAGTTAGCTTTAATAATGATAATAATGATAATAATGATAATAATAATAATAATAATTCCTTACACTTATATAGCGCTTTTCTGGTAATGGTGACTCCCCTCCACCACCCCCAGTGTGCAGCCCCACCTGGATGATGCGACGGCAGCCATAGTGCGCCAGAACGCTCCCCACACATCAGCTCTCAGTGGGGAGGAGAGCAGAGTAATGAAGCCAGGTCAGAGATGGGGATTATTAGGAGGCCATGACTGGTTAGGGCCAATGGGAAATTTGGCCAGGAAGCCGGGGTTACACCCCTACTCTTTTCGAGAAACGCCCTGGGATTTTAATGACCACAGAGAGTCAGGACCTCGGTTTTACGTCTCATCCGAAGGACGGCGCCTGTTTACAGTGTAGTGTACCCCATCACTATACTGGGGCATTAGGACCCACATGGACCACAGGGTGAGCGCCCCCTGCTGGCTCCACTAACACCTCTTCCAGCAGCAACCTTAGTTTTTCCCAGGAGGTCTCCCATCCAGGTACTGACCAGGCTCACACCTGCTGGGCTCCAGTGGGCTGCCAGTTGTGAGTTGCAGAGTGATATGGCTTTTTGCGTAATAGCCTAGGTAGGAGATTAAGTGGGTCACCCTGCAGGTTTGTTAAAATAAAAGTGCTACCCCAGCTCCCTCAGCAGTTTGACACAATGTCCCGATTTTAGGGGCTCATGTTGAAACTGGGCAGACTGCCTGATGATAAAGCTCACAGAAGAAAAGTAGGGTTTGAAGATTTGTCTTCCCAGCTTGAATTGGCCTGTCCCTCTTTCCCATCTCTCCAGTAACTTCCCCCAGCGCACATATGAGCTTCGCAAGGCCGAGAGGATACCCACCAGCTGAAGCCGTGCTTGTTTGTCGGGGTGTACTTCTCCAGCAGGGCGGTGAGCTTCAGCAGGGAGAATTTCTGGAGGAGGTTCATCTGCACGACAGACTGGCAGTTAATCTGCAGCGTCAGGGAGGAGACGCTCGGTCTGTGTGAGCTCTGGAAACTGTGCCATCGCAGTTTCTGGGGTCTGTCAAAAACAAGGGGGAAAAAATTGAACTTCGCACGCAGATGAGCAAATGCTATGCCAAGAAAACAGCTGTATGTCAAAAGAAGACATTCACTCAATCCACGTCTTTGATTGTCACTCTTCTGTGGGATGAAGCGCGACATCAGTACGGCTCAGACAGCCGATTGAGCTCTCTGATATTTCCGCTTAAACATCTCAACATGCAAATCAGTGCGCTGGTCAATTACTTGGGATAGCAATCCGCTTGGAATTCCTCCCGCACATTCCGAACTCCGAGCAGATTGCTACATCTGCTGATACAGAGCATTCCTGAGCATGACTGCATACAGCCGCGGTGCATTGCGTAATGGGAAAGCTGTCTGAACACGTCCCCCCCCCTACATCCCTGCCAGGCGAGCAAAACAAGAAAGAAAAGAGGAAAGAGAGCCTGAATAAAGCGTAAGGGGTGGCGCAAGGGAACAGGCGAGCGGCGCATCCCGGGACAAACTGCCGACCTGTTGGATCTCGTCAGCGAGGCGCCCACGCCCGAGTCCCTGCGCTCGCGGCTGGCCAGCGCCTCCTCCTGCTCGTGCAGGGAGTTGCCGGTGCTGTCCAGGTCGCTGCCGTTCTCGGCCTCCTCCAGCGGGTGCTGCAGCGGGGAGGAGGGGCAGGGCGAGACCGAGTCCAGGGCCGAGTCGGAGTCGCCCTCCTCGCAGGCGCGCTCCGACCACTCGTTCACGACGCGCTGGAGGCCCCGCACGTGCTGCAGGATGTCGTCCAGCTGGGGGTAGAGCAGCAGCCCGCCGTCGGCCGGCGGGGAGCCGGGCACGTTGTCGTAGACGCTGAGCCGGCTGTCCAGGGAGCCGGCGGGGCTGCGGCGGTTCCGCGGGCCGCAGCTGGAGCCCTTGGAGCTGTCGCCGCTGCTCTCCCGCCGCAGGCGGCGGTGGGGGCTGCTGTTGCACAGCGCTCTGGGGAACGTGCCCGGCTTGTGCCCCTCGGGGATGAAGAAGATGACCTCCTCCTCCTCCTCCTCCTCCTCCTCCTCCTCCAGCTCCGCCGCCCCCCTCTGGTTGCGCATGTTCCTCGCGGCCACCGGCGGCTCCGGCCCCGGCGGCGCGTGGCTGAAGGGGTCGAACCCCTCCAGGTACATGCCGCCCCGCTTGCTGCTGCTGTCTCGGCGGCCGAAGCAGGCGGCGGAGTGGCTGCGGGCCCGGGCCACGGGGCTGGGGGTGCTGACCGTGCTGCTGCCGGCCTCCGACGGGCTGCTGCTGCTGCTGCTGGTCTGCGTGGAGTAGGAGACGCTGCGGTTCCTGGGCGGGCCGCGCAGGCTGGAGATCTCCACGCAGTTCAGCCGCCTCAGCTTGTCCTCGTCCATGCCCTCCCTCAGCACCGGCGCGCTGATCACCAGCTTGGACACCGGCTTCTTCTTCTTGCTGGGCGAGCCCTTCAGGCGCAGGCTCTCCATCCTCTTCAGGAAGCTCTTGGCCTTGGACCTGGTGCTCTTGCCCCCGCCGGGCTTGGCGCTGAAGACGAAGCTGGAGGGCTCCTTTGGGGAAGGCAGGCCCTCGGAGAGGGAGTCCTCGTTGGCCCCCGAGTTGCCCGAGGAGCAGACGCTGGTCACCGAGCTGCTCCGCAGGGTCCCCGTGTCCGCGCTCCGGGCCCCGGGCCCCGGGCTCCCCGTGCTGCTGTGGGTGCTGTGGATCGAGCCCACCTCCGGCTGCTCGCTGAGGTCCGTCAGCATGCTCTCGCTGCTCACTCCCACCGTGAGGCCGGGCCCCTCGGCCGGAAAGAGGCCCGGCTCGCCCGGCAGGGAGAACACGTCCAGCTCCTCCAGCCTGGACCACCTCTTGCTGTCCCTCTGGAAAGTCCACTTCCCGCTGATGGCGCACGGCTCATCCTCGTCCGAGTCCTCGCTCTAAAGCAGGGAGTGAAGACCACAGATCGTGAGCACTTTTTTTTCCCTGCCGAAATGCCAGCATCGTCTTGAAAAGCCGGGTTCACAGAATCAGCTTCATAGACGGAGTGATGCTCTTCAAGGGAGCGATAGTTTGGTCAAAACAGTATCACGGAAGCCAGCTCTTCCATCTATAGGTAACTACATTTTAAAGAACCGCGCTTATTGGTAAACACACATTTCTGTTGCTTTTAAGAACCCAGTACAGTGTAATTCATTGTTGTATTTCTAAATGTGTTTATTTACTTGTCGAAAGAGATAAGATCAAACATATCCTGCATTGTGTGTTACTTATCCATGTCAGACTACAGTCCCATGTGGCTGTGGTTAATTTATCACTACCCCAGAGGCAACAGGAAATTCCATTCTTGCTTGCTATGTTTAAACTGGAGTCAGCCAGGGTCAGGAACCCCTCCAGACCCCTTTCTGATTCAGCTTCCTTTTCAAAGAGGCTTTGTCCTGAGACACCCTTCTTTCACGGTAAATGATAGTTGGTCTTCGCATTGGATCTACTAACTCCTGATTTGTAGTCAAACAACACCCAAGATAGAGCTTCAGAAGTCTCTTTGCTGTGACTAATAACGCGACGACAAAAGTCCATAAAACTCCAGCAATTCACTGCCTTCAGGCTGCCTCAGGTCTCTCATCAAGGCCTTCTCTGTGCTTCCTGGACTTCCTGCGGCCTTGTAATTAAATAACTGGTTTGAATCATCATCGTGAGCTGACAGGCGTAAATAGTGCATCAGCACTTCACGTGAACCACTTACGCATGAAACAAACCCCCGGATCTGATTCCCTTCCCGAGGGGCCACAGCTCACAGACATGCTGTGCTGCGTGGACGGTTTCATATCCACCCCGGCCTTCGACAGACGGCTGGCGGCTGCATACCACGCAGCCGAAGGACAGAGAATGGGAGTCTGTCACGTCCCGCACATACATGCATTCCAAGGACAGGGAGGGCAGCGGTTTTATTAAGCAAGCAAACAGCCCCTTTGCTTTCTGCTGACCCTTCTTCATCAGAGAGGTCAACAGGGACATTGAGAGACTTTCATCAGGAAGCTCATTCACATGCGGCAGGTCAGCTCAGACAGCAAGCTCACGAGTAACGGCAGAACCAGCATGCCCCCTGGTCTGCTCTGCTCCAACAGCGTCACAGCAGTCCGAACACACAGGGACCTCTGACATGCACGCTGTCAGCTCGTGCCCTGCCCACTCTAGAAATTCAGATAGTGCTGGCCACTCTACAGATGCTTGGGTGTCCATTGTACTGAGCTTTCCATTATGTGCTGAAGAGACGCACTGGTGTGCCAGCTGCAATCCCCACTACTGTTTTGATCAGTCTGTCTCAGAAGCATTGACCAAAGGACTGGGAGCCTCAGCTCCTCCAATAACCCAGAATGCTCTCCAGAATTCATCCATTAAAGGTACATCACGCAACTGAATTTCTTTTCCGTGCTATATACGCTTTTCACTTTATCTTCAAGCATCCAGAACCCTCAAAGACACCGACAAAGTCAACCTGACAGACGACTTCAAACTCAGAGATGCAGCACAAACCAGAGGACACTAGTGCAAACTACGGGGCGGTGCGTTGCAAACTGAGGACAGGAGGCACTTCTTTAAACAAAGGGTTGTAGGAGTCATGGTACACAGCCCGATACCCTGGATTCTTTCAAGAAACACCTGGATTAGATTGGATCAGTCGGCTAAGGAAAGGCCTCCTCTTGTTTAAAACCCTTCCTGTGTCCTTATGATAAAACAGGGTTATATAAATAATATGTCTCCAAAACTGATATTTTTAGAGACGTATCATGCCTTTAAAATTGGTTTTAAAAATGCATTATAGCAATGAAGCCCTTCCGTTTCTGAAAGTATTTTTAATTTTCTTTCTACCGATTTGCAATGTGACATGATTTGCCTAGATTAACAACGGAGCACCTCCAGTGTCAGGCTTTCTAATAGCCATCCCGTGCATTTATATAGGATCTTTCATCCTGAAGGACCCCTAAGCACTTTACATACAAGAGGGGGCCCACTTCCTCCACCATTGAAGAGCAGCCCCCACCCGGGCGACACACAGCAGCCGTTCTGCCCCAGCAGCCCAGATACACAGCCGAGCGGGGGCAGGGGGAGAGCACACAGCTTCCTCAGCTGCATTGTAGAGGAACTCCAGGTAGGCCACATTGTGTAAGCTCAGGGAGGACTTCAGCCAGGACACCAGGGCTGTGAAACTAGCGGTGAAACCATGTCACCCTCTTCACAGAGTAGACAGAGACAACCTCTCTCCTCCGGAGAGCCGAGGAACATGTCTTCTCCCTTACAGGGGAGACTTTTAGGGCAATGATGTCGTCCAAGAATAAGCAGTCACTATAATTAAATGGTGTAAATGTGCACAATAATCTTCTCCGGCTGTTTCACAATCCTAGAAAGCTTTCTAAATAGTGTTTTCTAAACAGACTTTATGTATATAAAGACGATGTTAGCGGCTACGTACAGCTGTTTAATGTATAGCTGTTTTAGGTCTTGTCAGCACGATACAGATATATAGATGTCTTGGCTATCCTGATCACAATTTAAAATATATACATGTGTATATACAACACTGTATACATTAAAATGAGCTTGGACAGCATTGATTACTATGTTTAACAAGGTTGTGTATCTTGCTGATTTCTAACTGGGTCACAATGCAGAACTGCATTTTAGTTCTGTTTATTATGAAAGCATGACAAATCCTGTATCTGCGTGACAAGATCCGTATAATTTTAAATGGCACTCAACTAATTAAAATGTTTTTTTTCATATCATTCTCCGAATGAAGTAGCAGACATGACTTTTCTTTTCTCCACTTTGAATAGATAAACAGCAGTTCTCCTATGCTTCTTTATGTCTAAAACTCTGTTTTTGCTTCACCCAGATATCTTTGTAATGTAAAAAAGTCCTCGCATTCTAACATCTTGCAGAAGCACTCTGTGAAACATGCTGAAGTGAGGGCCATATTTCATTCGAAGATGTTTTGGGGATTAAAGTATCCCACTTCTAAAGGGCACCTCAGATAACTGCACCCACTTTCCCCAAGAAGCTACAATTCTTTGGTTTCTTGCTTTTCATTGGTCCCATACAAATAGCTCGGGAGTTATAAAAAACAGGTATTCCTGTTAGGAATTACATCAGTGTAATTCAGAAGAGAGGGAGTGTAGTTGACATGACTTACTCTTTTCCTTTGCGGCGAGATCTCCAACTTCATCACGGCGCACTTGTTGAGGGTGTTCAGCCGCCTGCGAACGACACACACAGGAGAATTAAAATGCCATTCCAGCCCCGGATTTGAGTCTTTCCCCAGGAACAAGAGCCTTCCTTCCCATTCTGTACCTCATTCCCAGACCAAACACATCCGAGGAACAGCCTCTTTCTGGAGGCAAACTAAAAATGCCAAAACAATAATAAAAAAAGGTAGCGGACTTTATATATGTCAAGTCTCCTCATCTGAAACCATAGTAAAAGAAAACCCAGAGTAAAAAGAAAAATGGACATTTATCCTACGCAGTCTGCTAGGAGTCCCTTCAGTCTGCTTCCTTTGACATGCACTGACCCAGGCTCAAGGCTTGAACATTGAGTGAGATTCTCCAGATGCACATTGTCAGCTGGAACAATGCTGTGCCTTTAATCAGCTGGAGAATCAGCTCCTCAGAACCACCTGGGCTGCCTATGTTCCATCTCAGACTGGGGTATGGTGCTGAACCTTTCATCCCATGGGAAAATATGGTCTTTAACACACACAGATGAAATCCCTCCTATCACATTTTATCAGCTGACAGATATCCTGTCACACACACACACACTGATCATCCGAACCGACTTGCCACTAGCTTTTAAGCAGAAGAAAAAGAAACGACCGTACTGAAAGAAAATAGCGTGACACGGGGAGACACTGGTGCATATTTTCTAGCCAGATAAAAAAGTAGTAGAGTCTAGTGTAGATGGGGGAAGCCATTGGCAATGCATTCCTTATCGGCATCTCTCAACAAAAGTAACATTTTTTTAAGCACATGATCTTCAAGTGATTTGGTTTGCAGACAAATTTCATAAAGACATGTCATGGCTCCCTGTAGACTGAATATTTATAAGTTCAAATTTGATACACAGACAGATCAGGGTTTCTTTCGATTTCTGAACCTAAAGCTGCCCCAGTGATATCCGAAAACAACATCAGCGGAAAGTGGGGTCCCATTCCGTGCGCAATAATGTATAATACTGCAACTTTCTGCAGGTGAAATGGCAATGGGAATTTTTAATTTTTGCATCTCTTCGTAACTTTTACAGTGTTGAGATCACATCGTACAGAACTGTGAAGCTAAAGGGCATCATGACAGAGCTGCTTTGCAGTAATAGCAGGCTGTCAAAACTGTCTGCAAAGACATCGATCACAGAGACTCTGCCAGTTCAGGGCCGCCGGAGATAAAGATTAGAAACACTGCCTCTTTCTGTCCTCATAAATGACTGTGGCTTGTGGCACATCTGAAAAGGCTAGACAGGGCAAAAAAGGTTGACTAACCCTTGGCAGAATGTGGGGTAGTAATAATATTTGCCTTTCTTAAACAAACACACAGCTGTTGAGAGCTTTCCTGGTTTTAACACATACAAACTCCCTTTGTCAGGTTGGACTTCCCTTACGCCATCTGCATCTGTTTGCTGGTGTTGTTTTGTTTTTGCCCACGGGTGTAAAATGAATTTTATTTGTAAAAAAAATCGAGCTATCAAAGCCTCCGCGCCCACCTGCACAGAGCTTCAATGGCATCTCCGTCCAGGAAGTCGTGGTCCCGGGTCACAGAGGAGATCTCGATAGGGAACTGAGAGTCTGCAAGGGGGAAGAAAGCAGATGGAACAGGAGGAATCAGTCCCAGGGGCTCCTCCCTCCCCTGCAGCTGCTGCTCAGGCCAGCTTCCAGGGAGCAGCTGAAGCCCTTGACCAAGGCCAGCAGCCCCGCAGGCCGGGAGTGTGAGCGACCGGAAGGACAGCGCGGATTCACAACAAAATCACGCTCCCTGCTGCTGAACGAGGAGCCCACCCTGCCTCGCAGGAAACGGGTGGCAAAGCCATTCACGGAAAGCACCCACTTCTCCGTGACTCAGAGAGGCAGGCTCATTGTGTCCGAACGCCTCTGTGCACGCGCGCACGGCTGTGCCGCGGACCCAGCCTGGTGGCGGTGGCGGCCGACGGAAGCACATCTCTGGCGACACCCCCGCACAGGAATAGCGAAAACCACAAGATGACACCAACACCCCGAAATAACCCCCGTGCAGAAATACTTCTTTTTGTTCTCTTTGTCTTAATTAGTGGCTGTAAAGCCGGGGAAGGTATTTATTTCACCCAGGAAATAACTGGTTGAAAGTTAACTTCGTGGCTGAAATGAGCGGGGAGGCTTGTGCTCAGGCAGGCAGAACAATCCCTTTGCGTAAACAAACACACAAAGCCACCCCACCAGACAAGCGCCCCTGGACTGGGGGCAGGAGCACAGCCGATCCGCTCCACAGGAAGGCCCGGGGCCGGACACAAGCCCCAGCAGACGCTCCTTTACCTGCACAGTGCAGCAGGGACTGGGCAGAAACGCAAGGCAACACGAAGAGCACAGAAGAGGAAGACTGGTTTTAGCATGTGCTTCCACGTGCATTTTACTTCCCGATCGGAAATCAGTTTAAATGCCCCAGGGCCTCCTATTGGTCTTCCTTATGATCACGGAATTGATCTTCGCCCGTTCCTCTGCAGTCAGCGCACAGCGGCACAGAGCCCCGCTTGAGCCTCCTATCGACACGCTCGGCCATTTGGACAGGCGACACCAAAAGACGATAGAGAGAGATGCGGGGGGGGCAAAATACTGTTCAACCTCAAGTTCGTAAGGTGCCAGCTTCTAACTCCTAATAATATTCATCTTGCACTTGCTGTTACTTAGACCGACACTCTTGGCAGCCGAGGTCAGAGATGCACTTTTTACCTTCGTAGAGCTGGGCATACTGTGGGAACCCAGCTGCCCTCAGCCAATCACATGCCTCCTTGGCCTCGATTTCTGAAAGAAAGGGAAAACAAGACGGCCTGCTGTTAGATATTTGCCAAGCAGGAAGTTCCAATGTACAGCAAGCCTGCGCTATAGCAACTGAAGGGAGCCACCGCAACTACAGCAGCTCCTTCGGCGAGAGTTTTATTTTACCCAGCCCCTGGAGGTCCAGTGCATTGAGATCCGGAGCTCAAAAGAACCCAAGCACGCGAAGAAACAAACCACGCTGAACGAGACCCGTTGTCTGAGGGCTGGGTTTGCAAAGAGCGGCATTTCCCGGGAGGGTATCGCCACCGCGCAGAACCTGCACTGCTTTCCTTTTAGAGGGGACACATTGTGCAGGAACACTCAAAAGAAGAGCTGCAGCAACAGAACCTGACAAGAACAATTGCTGGAAGCCTGCAAGAGCCCTTTTGAATGAGCTGAAGTGGCTTTTCCGATCAAGGTCTCCAATCGCCTCGCACGTATCCTCCCTTATTAAAGCAGGAACCAGCTCCATGGGCAGCATGAAAGGCATGAGCTCACTACATAAGTCTCGTAATCCTCTGGCATGTCTCACCGCTTCAGGCAAAAGAGGGCTAATGAGGCACATACCACTCTCATGGCCTCGTGCTAACCCAGTGGCACCGAAGGCCAGGATCTAGGAAAATGATGGAATCGGGG